AATGAGAAAGAGAGCAACATTGAATCTAGGGGCCTGTCGTGAGTAGGGATAAGGATGGGAACCAGTGGCTGGACCAGGGAGTGGTCAGTACAGGAAAGAGCCAGCTAAGACTTCAGAGAAGAGGTAACCCTGGGGCCGAGTAGCTGAATCTTGACAGATGCCTGTTGTTAGAGGGTATATGTGATGTTGAGTATGTTGCCAGGGAGGTTAGATATGGCGCAAGGAATAAAAAATGAGAGAGACAGGTTGGTTCCATGAGGACAGGGAGGACTGAGTAGTTTGGCCTGATCTGAGAATGAGAAGTGTGTTACAATCAGAAAGGGGTGGGATGGGAGAAGAAGCAGGGGAGATACAGGATGAATTGGACAGCCTTGCACTCCATACCAGTGAGTAGCCATTCAGGGGATTCAGATCAGGGAAAAAATGTAAGGGAGAGCCACAGCAGCAATGGAGGACGGGTTAGAGGGCATGGGGCCTCAGAACAAACAAATGGAGAGGCATAAAGCCTGGAGAATGTGCTGGGCCCAGTTAAGATAGAGCTAACCCTGAGGGCATGGAGGAAGGGGGTTTCATAAATGCCAAATGCTGATTTTCATTAGAAATAGGATTTAGAGAAATCAAACACACTTAGTCCTTTTTAGAAGGACTAGAAGAGAATATATTGATGATAAAAATACTTTTTAGGGTATTGTCAAACTGAATACTAGAACACTTGAAATTGAAAATCTAGCCTAGCAATGGCTTTCCAATAACTCATTGGAAGTCACTAATTATATAAATATTTTTAAATCCCAATTTTCATAAGCAGTAAAAAAAAATTGTTTAGTCTCTCTTGTTTGAAAGAACCTTCTGGATCTTTCTATCATTGCTTCTCCTATCTTCCTTATATTACACCACCCTAATGCCTTTGCTGTGAGCCTGTGTTCACCAATTTTGTGATGGTGACTGTATTTGTTGGGGTGTAACTGCAATGCCTACTCAATGGATGTAGGTGGCATCTCCGATTACTGAAAGCAAGTGTGAAATGCTTCTCTCAGCTTCAGAAGGCATGCCAGCAGCATACTTAGTGGGTGATTGCAGTTCATACTTGGGTAGGGCCAGGGAAGACCTAAGTTGTTCATCATACTGCTTTGCTATTCCCGAAAGAACCGAACCCATGCCTGTCTCTGAAAAGGCAAATATTTGAGTTGGAACTACAGACTCCATGAAAGCTCTCAAGTGTCCTTTCACAGTGGAGGCCACACCTTGCACATTCCTGAAGGTGAGGGTGGGCTGTGTTGTGCGTTCCCCTCTTACTGGCCAGCTGCACAGAAGCCATTCGGGAGGAAGGAGGGAGACATTAAAGTCTACCTCATTTTCCATTGACTGCAGAGAAAGTTACATGGTGTTTCTTTTCTCTCATCTAGATAGACCATCTTTAAATGTTAATAGTGGAATAAATTAGAAATCATTTCAATTATAAATTCAGAGCACTAAATGATTGCAAATGGCTGTACTGAACAATATATTACTTTACAAATTGTAAAGCTGCCCTGCCATTTGCTCTTGGGAACCTCTGGGTCTTCTTAATCACGGTTATTGATTCAGGGAGTTTAAGGGATGAACTTCTAGAGGTGTTCCAAGCTAAAGCTGATAGCCTTTCTGGGAGAGAATCTTGGAAATATTGACAAAGATTAACTGATTTGACTATAGATGCCTCCCTTTCACGTATCTTTGTAAGGAAAGGTTGCAAGTTCTAAGAGACTGATCAAATGCGTGACCACTAACGTGGTATGCTTCTCAGGGCCCTAGACTGTTAGAACTGAGGGCCAACTCAGAGGCCCTGACCACGTTCCTCACGTTACACTGCTGCTGTGTCCTATTTTGGTGGAGGGCAGAGGGATGGGGGCACAGATACAGAAGGAATTCTGTTTTACATCGTTCTTTTCAGCAGAGCATTTTATCTACCAGCACTTATAAATATACACAATTTAGCTGTTTATTATAAGAACACCGGAGTACACAAAAGTGCAAATATGCCTTCTATTTCCTTCATAACTTTTGTGTTAAGTATACTGTGTTATGCTTGTGATGCTTTCCTGTATTTGGTTGTAGCTTAATTAAATTAATATTCAGTTTTTCAATCTGTTAGATAGTAGAAAGATTAGGGAGTGGTTTTGGTGTTCTTCTTCCCCCAGGTAATCATGCCTCTTTTGACATGTGTATATGGCCCAGTTCCTTCCTATCTCTACTTTAACCTGCTAAGTGTTTTCCTGTCCTGTGTCAATGTATTTTCTGCTCAATAAGTAGTAAGAGTTCTTTCCAATTATTAGTACCTAGTTAAAATCCTGGTCCTTCATGACATTGAAAAGTGTTGTAGGGGATTGACACTTAGCTACTATTCACTCATTTTTTGTTCATTCACCAGATATCTACTGACCACTTATTATCTCCAAGTCATTAATTGTGCTAGGGTTGTGATCAGTGCTGTCTAGAAAAGTCCAGGGTACTCTAAGAGTATATGACAGAAGGATGAAATCTCAACAGGAGAATCAGGCCTGTCTTACTGAGAATGTGTTACTTAAACTGAAACCTGAGGAGGAGGTAGGTAGGTAGGTTTACCAAGTAGGAGAGCAATAGGTAGAAAAGCCTAAGATAAGAGAAGTTAAAGAGACATAAACAGTGGTTATCCTAGTCAACAGAATTAAAAACACACACACACAAGGCTTGGCCATCACTCAGGAGCATTAATTAGATTTACATATAGTTGTGCCATACGGTCATGCACAGCATAAGGACATTTCATTCAACAGATTGCATATACGGCAGTGGTCCTGTAAGATTATAATACTGTATTTTCATTGCACCTTTTCTACATTTAGCTAGGTTTACAGATACTTCCCATTGTTTTACAGTTGCCTACAGTATTCAGTACAGTCACATACTGTATAGCTCTGTAGCCTAGGAGCAATAGTCTCTACCATACAGCCTCGGGGTGTAGTAGGCTGTACCATCTAGGTTACTGTAAGCACACCCTAGGATGTTTGCACAAACATGGAATGGCCTAATGAGGCACTTCTAAGAATATATCCCTATCATTAAGTGACTCATGACCATATTTAATGTTGAGAGTGAGCATTTTCCTAGGCTAAACATTGCATAAAACATATATAAATGTAATCAGAAATGCAAAAATCATTTGATCACAAAATGATTCTAATAATTTAGTTTTTGAATATCATTCAATACCTCTAACCTAATTAAGAGTGCAATAAATGTTTATTGAATGAACCTCATCTTTTTCTTGCCAGCAGGAGTAATATCACCTGAAACATTTATAGATAAGAAAACCTGAGACCTTGGTTTAACTAGTGGGATCTATCAGGAATAAGTAGAGTTTCAAATTATATTTTCATCCCTAAATAAAAGTTAAATACCATGACCCTTCCATAGAATACAGAACTGTGAAAGAACACCCTGCTTTTACCTTTGAAGCAATTTTTTTATTTTTATTTTTTTAGTAAGAAGAGTAATTGAGAAAGATTATTTCAAATAAGCCGTTGCTATAAATTCAGATCCCATCAGGAAGGTCCCTCCAACTTGTAGTATTCTACTGACTCTTGAAAAAACTTGTCTTCTCACCTCTTGGGGTCAGTAATGACAATCTCCTCTCTCCTTTTCTCTCTACCTTCCATCCCCACAATCACTGTCTTAGTTCATATTGGTCTTTCTCTGATCTGCAGGGTCTTCCCTCCCTGGTTTAATAACCCATCAGTGTCTCCCTATTGCCTTCAGCATGAATCCAGACGTTGTCTAATGGAGAAGCCTCTGGCTTCTGCTCACTTCCTGGGGCAGCCTCTCTTCCACCTATAAATATATGCCTGAGAATATAGTGGGTGGTTCCATGCCATTTTGTGGGTTTGTTTATTTTGTAATTGATGTTTCTTTCATTGAATCTTCTCGCTTTTACCCTCCCTCCTCTGTCCTGCCTACACACACAAACACACACACACTCTCTCTCTCTCTCTCTCTCTCTCTCTCTCTCTCTCTCTCTCTCTCCTCTTTCTCTTTTTCTCTCACTATTTCCACTCCCCTCCTGGGTATGCTCCAGATGTCACCTCCTCGGAGAGCCCACTCTGCCCCCTGCCCATCTGTGTCCTGCAGCTCTCCTAGAGAACTCAGCCCAAGATTTACTGCACTGGCTGGTGACTGCTTGCCCTGGTCACCTACCATCTCCTTCAGGGCCAGGCCTTTCCTCTGTAATTTTACCTCTGTATTTCCAATCATGGTTCTGTGCCAGGCATAGCCTTCCACAATTACTTGTTTATTTGTTTTGTTTTTATTATTTATTTCTCATTTTTAAACAAACTGTAGAAAAATTTTTTACTGAGGCAGAAATATGACTGGGTTTGCATATTAGATCAACCACTGGGGCTGGGACATTGGGGAAGTAAATGGGCCCGTGTGGCAGAACGTTAACAGATTACCATGGATGGATACATCAAAACTGTCTCTTGCAAACACAAAAGCTTTTGATTGGAGCAGGCTGTGCTCAGTAGTTCCACCTCCCAGTTCTCTCCAAATAACTGAAGTTTCATTTAGTAGAGGATCTGACATATAATCTCTCTGATGTAAGCAATTCATACAACCTAATGGTTTAGAATGGTAGTATCACAAACTTAAGAGAACACTTGGCACAGACACGGAAGACTTGGGTTTGAATCTAGGCTATGTCATTTATTAATTGTGTGACATAGTCACCCTGTGTATTAAGCTATTCCTGCATTGTTACAAAGATACACAAGACTGGGTAATTTATAAAGAAAAGAGGTTTAATTGGCTCTGCGTTCTACAGGCTTTATGGGAAGCATGGTGCTGGCATCTGCTTGGCTTCTGGAGAGGCCTCAGAAGCCTCCAATCTTCCACTTAGAATCATGGCAGCAGGTAAAGAGACAGGAGGCATGTCACATGGGGAAAGCAGGAGCAAGAAGACAGAGAGTGAGGAGGGAGATGCCACACACTTTTTTTTTTTGAGATGGAGTCTCTGTCACCCAGGCTGGAGTGCAGTGGCACAGTCTGGGCTCACTATAACCTACACCTTGTCAGTTCAAGCTATTCTCCTGCCTCAGCCTACCAAGTAGATGAGATTACAGGCACCTACCATTATGCCTGGCTAATTTTGTATTTTTAGTAGAGATGGGGTTTCACCATGTTGTCCAAGCTGGTCACAAACTCCTGACCTCAAGTCATCTGTCCGCCTTGGCTTCCCAAAGTCCTGCAATTACAGATGTGAGCCACCACACCCAGCCAGATGCCACACATTTTTAAAAGACCAGATCTCACGCAAACTCAGAGTAAGATATCACTTATCCCCAAGGAGATGGCCCAAGCCACTCATGAAGGATCTTCCCCGTGATCTAAACACCTCTCACCAGGCCTCACCTCCAACAGGGAGGGTATCCCACCTCCAACAGGGAGGGATCCCATCTCCAACAGGAAGGGATCAACCCCATGATCCAAACACCTCTCACCAGGCCCCGCCTCCAACAGGGAGGGTGTCCTGTCTCCAACAGGGAGGGATCCCACCTCCAACAGGGAGGGTATCCCACCTCCAGCAGGGAGGAATCCCATCTCCAACAAGGAGGGATCCCACCTCCAACAGGGAGGGTGTCCCACCTCCAACAGGGAGGGTATCCCATCTCTAACAGGGAGGGTATCCCACCTCCAACAGGGTGGGTATCCCATCTCCAACAGGGAGGGATCTGACCCCATGATCCGAACACCTCTCACCAGGCCCCACCTCCAACTCCCAATTGGGAATTACATTCAATATGAGATTTGGGTAGGGACAAATATCCAAACTATATCACCTTGTAAATTCTCTGTTTCCTCATTTATAAAATTGGTATCAAATATGCTGCTTGCCTGTCTTACAGCCTGATCAGGAGGATTATGATCAGTGAAAATTATTTGCAAACCAAATTGCTCAAGATAATAAAGTTATAATATCCTGATTTGCTTAAAAAAATGTTGACTAGATTGCTCTTCAGTCTTTATCCCCATTATACTCTGCTTTTAGTAGTATAGTTAAAATTTCTAATCATTTTAACTTTTATACTGATATGCTGTGGTTCTCACCTACATAGGAACTATGTTTTAATAGTAACTCATATTTGACAATAATTTTAGGGAAGTTGTAAGAAATGTGTGTTTGGTATTAATATTGTGCATTCATTTGGTAAAATCATCAATGTTTTAGATCTCTTCTTCCATCAAAATATCCCAGCAATAAGAGAAGGCATTATTGGCAGGACTATTTATAGATAACAGCTTATTCCAGGGAGTGCAAGTGCAGTGTTGTTAAGAACCATAAAAAATACCACCATAGCATGGAGTCTGCTGCATCTGGATTTAAATTCTTATTTGCTAAGATTTAATGTCTTTACCTCATTATTATTATGGAGAATTAGTGACCTGTAAGCAAAGCAGTCAAGAGAGCATCAAACACAGATGTTATCTGTTCAGTACAGGAAACCTTTTCTTATTGTTGATTTCTGTAGTGACAGAAACAACTTATAGATGACACAGTAGCCCCTTTTATTCTGCCCATGTCTTGGGAGATTTTCTGGGTTCTAGTATTATATTCCTAAACCTCAGTTATATTCTTCTGAGCAGCTTGTGATAGAGGAATAATAATTACAGCAATAGAAAATGAATAATCATTATTACTTGGATTGAGGAGCTGTGACGTGCCAAGCCCACGCTTGGTTCTGAATGAAATAATTTCTCATGGCGCAGAGCAGTCTTCTTCGCTAGATGCCAGTATTCCCACCTTACAGTTGAAAGAACTGAGATTCAGGAAGGTTAACAGACTTGTTTACTGTAATCTCAAAGCCATGAGCTTCCCGTGTAACACTTAATTTTGTGCTCAGAGCCACAGGGCACATGACCTGTCAGGACCTTGCCTCCTCTTGGGAGTTGTGCCCGTTCTCTTGTCCCCCACTTTTTTTGATCAGAAGATGTCTTTCCTGCTGGCTCTTCAGAACCAACATGGTTACCTCCCTTTGCAGACATGGACTGTCCTGCACAGTAATATCCTTTCTTTATTATCTTTTCTAGTTCAGGCATGCCTTGCAGTTATTGCAGGCTCAGTTCCAGATCACTACAATAAAGTGAATATCATAATAAAGCAAGCCACACACATTTTTGGTTTCCTAGTGCATGTAAAAGTTATGTTTATACTATACTATAGTCTGTTAAGTGAGCAATAGCATTATGTCTTAAGAAATGTGTCTACCTTAATTAAGAAACACATTATTGCTAAAAGTACTGATGATCAGCTGAGCCTTCAATGAGGCATAATCTTTTTGCTGGTGGAGGGTCTTTCCTCGAGGTGGATGACTGCTGACTAATCAGGGTGGTAGTTGCTGAAGGTTTGGGTGACTGTGGCAATTTCCTAAAATAAGACAATGAAATTTGCCACATCAGATGACTTTGCCTCTCACAAAAAATTTCTCTGTAGCATGGGATGCGTTGGAAAGCATTTTATCCACAGTCAAACTTCTTTCAAAATTGGAGTCAGCCCTCTCAAACCTCGCTGGTGCGTTATCAACTGTGTTGCTTTAATATTCTAAATCATTTGTTGTCATTTCAACAGTGGTGACAGAATCTTCATCACAAGTAGATTTCATCTCAAGAAACCATTTCTTTGCTTACCCATAGGAAGCAACTTCTTATCCATTAAAGTGTGATCATGCAATTGCAGCAATTCAGTCACATCCTCAGGCTCCACTTCTAATTCTAGTTGTTCTTTCCACCACATCTGCAGTGACTTCCTCCACTGAAGTGTTGAACCCCTCAAAGTCACCCTTGAGGGTTAGAATCAACTTCTTCTAAGCTCATGTTAATATTAATATTTTGACCTCCTCCCATGAATCACAAATGTTCTTAATGGCATCTGGAATAGCGACTCCTTTCATTTGACTTTGACCAGACCCGTTAGACGAATAATTATATATGGCAGGTATAGCATCACAAAATCTGTTCCATGAGACATAGAAGTTGAAATGACTCCTTGACCCATAGACTGCAAAATGAATGTTGTGTTAGCAGGTGTGAAAGCAGCATTCATGCCATGGATGTCTCTATCAGAGCTCATGAGTGATCAAGTGCATTGTCAAATGAGCAGTAATATTTAGAAACGAATCTTTTTTTCTGAGAAGTGGGTCTCAACAGTGGGCTTAAAATAGTCAATAAACCATACTGTAAACAGATGAGGTGTTATCCAGGCTTTGTTGTTCCATTTCTAGAGCACAGGCAGACTAGATTTAGCATGATTTTGAAGGGCATTAGAATGGTAAATGAGCATCGGCTTTGACTTAAACTTGCTAGCAGCGGAGCTCCTAACACGAGAGCCCCTAACACGAGAGTCAACCTGTCCATTGAAGCCAGACATTGACTTCTCCTCTTCAGCTATGAAAGTCCTAGATGGTGTCTGCTTCTAATAGAAGGCCGTTTCACCTATAATGAAAATCTGTGGTTTAGTGCAGTCACCCTCATCAGTGACTCTAGCTAGTTATGGACAACGAGCTGCAGCTTCTACATCAGCACTTGCTGCTTCACTTTGCACTTTTATGTTATAAACAAGGCCACTTTTCTTCAACCTCATGAACCAACCTCTGCTAGCTTCAGACTTTTCTTCAGCAGCTTCCCCACTTCCCTGAGCCTTTATAGAATTGAAGAAAATTAGAGTCTTGCTCTGCACTAGGCTTGGTTTAAGAGATTATCATGGCTGGTTAGATCTTCTATCCAGACCACTCAAGCTGCTTTGATAGTGTATGCAGACCACTCAGACTTTCTTCTTATCAGCAGTCAGGCCATTTCACTTCCCTATCATTCATGTATTCACTGGAGTGGGATTTCTAATTTCCTTCAAGGACTTTTCCTTTATATTTACAACTTGGCTAACTGTTTGGTGCAAGAGGCCTAGCTTTTAAACTGTTTTGGCTTTTAACATGCCTTCCTCACTACGCTTAATAATTTCTAGCTTTTAATTTAGAGTGAGAGACTTGCAGCTCTTCCTTTCTCTTGAAAACTTAGAGGCCATTGTATGGTTATTTGTTCTAATTTCAGTATGGTATGTCTTAGGGGATAGGGAGGCCCAGTGCCAGGGAGAGAGATGGCTGTCTCATATGGACACAGTTTGTAGCACCCCAAAACAATTGCAAGAGTAACATCATAGATCACTGATCACAGATCCCCGTAACAGATGTAATAATAATGAAAAAGTTGGAAATATTGCAAGAATTACCAAAATGTGGCACAGAGACATGAAGTAAGTGCATGCTGTCAGAAAAAAACTGGCACTGACAGACTTGTTCAAGGGAGGGTTGCCAGAAACCTTCAATTTATAAAAACTTCAGTATCTCTGAAGCACAACAATGTGAAGTGCCTTATTAAGGTAGATACACCTTTATTAAGAAAATACATTACACCTTTGTTTCTGTGTTGTAATCATTGGAATCTCTGAGGTTTATCCCTACTGCTTGCTTAATTCTTAGTGCAATACTTTTGTTTTCTTCATTATTTCCTTGTTATTATTTTTAAACTGAAACATTTTTGGGTTTTTGGTTTGTTTTGTTATGTTTTAGAGGTGGAATCTCACTCCATTGTCCAAGCTGGAGTACAGTAGCATGATCTTAGCTCACTGCAGCCTCAAATTCCTTGGCTCAAATGATCCTCCCACCTCAGTCTCCTGAGTATCTGGGACTACAGGTGTGTGCCACCACACCCAGCTAGTTTTTCTTATTTTCAGTAGAGCAGGGTCTCACTATGCTGCACAAGTTGGTCTCAAACTCCTGGGCCCAAGCAGTCCTCTTATCTCAGCTTGCGAAAGTGCTAGAACTACAGGCATGAGACAACGCACCCAGCCGTTGCTAAATGTTTAGCCATGTAATTTTGAGAACTTGAAGAACTTAAATGAAATTGTTTTCGAGCATCGGATTATTTTAATCAAATTAATCAGTGTTTTTCTGCTGGTATGTATGTTCTTTTTCCTTTCACCATTTTTATTAGTCTCCAGAGAATCAATAAATTAAGCATCAGTACTTTTGAGATGCTTATAAGTGGCTTTTTAATGGTTCCCTTTTATTATTGGAGAAATGCAGACTGCAGGAGCATCTTAAACCTCGGGGCTAAATGTGCTTTTGTCACAGTTTTCAAACCTTTTGAAAACGCTCTATCTGTGGCTAAAATTGTTTAGGGAAAGGAAGTGACTTCTAATAATTTTTCTTTTTTTATTGAGGTACACATAGGATCAAAATATCATTCAGTGGTAAAACTTCAGTGTCAGTATTCCTGCTTTTTATAGAGCTTGGTTTTATTATTGCTTACTATTGCCGAGTCGCTACACTGAGTGTTAGCAGAGGGTGCCCCATCCCTTACTACCACCACCACCGCTATTACCACCCTGCCTGCTTTTAAGTGAGTTTTATCGTATTAAAAAATAGTACCCTGGATTCCTTTACTGCCAGAAAACAAAGATCATTTTTATTAATGTTGCTCCTAGGATGACAATGTCAGTCATCTCTTTGAAAATTCACTTTGGAAACTAAGTTTGTTCCTTAAGAACCTTTGAAAAGAAGCTTTAAAAATGGCAGGGAAGATAATAATAATAGAGTAGATGTATTTGAGCTTTTATACAATGAAACTTAATTTAACTTTCCCTCAAACTCCATTTCAGACGTGCTTTTGTGCATGAAAATATGCTGCCTAGCCTTCCCTCCCCTAATTTTCACATTTGCTTTTCTTTAGCATAATCTCTTCTGAAGGATTCTGTGCACTGGATCAGACCTCCAGTCTCATTCCCGGCCCCCATTCTGAGGGCAGTAATACCAGGCCACCTGTGGGAGGGTGTGCAGGGAGGCTGCTGTAGATGGGGAAGGCCAGGATGGCTCTCAAACCACTGCCACCACCCTCCCTGCACACACAAAAAAACCAACAACATACTTATGTAATATTTTGATATAACTTTAGGGATTAAAATCGATATCCAAGGAAATACTAAGAACAGGAAATTATGGCCTTTGTAGCCTGAGGAGTGATTATAGACTTGACAGAGAATAGTTACAAGTTTGCCTGATTTTGGAAAGAGAGAGGAGAAAAAAGACCAAGACCATGCCTGCCTCCAAGCTTCTTTCCCAGCCCACACTCAGGTACCTCCTTCTTCATCCTCACCTCAGGCTGTGTGGGTGCCTAGTAGGGGAGTCAAGACTAGGAAGCCTGCTTTTCATGAGTGAGGGAGACCCTGCCATTCTTGGGTAGCTCTTGGGGACTCCTGGGGCATACCTGCCGAGACCTGGGCAGTATTTGATGTAGGGGCCAGCTTATTACCTTCCATCTTCTGTGCTACTGATGAAGGGTGTTTGCAAGCAATTGGAGTGAATGGAGACTCTGTTGGAGATCTATTAATAAACATGTTGGCTTTTTTGTTTTTGTTGCTGTTGCATTATCTTTAATTCCAGGAGAATGTTGGTGATGGTAGCATTGCATAAGCAGTTTTAGGGTGAGAACGTTTGGATACCAGGTTCAGGCCAGATGCCCTCAATATAGAAGATGCTAGAAGAGATTTTAACATAGAGATTGATACATCCCTGGGTCCTGTTACTTTGTCCTTTGTCCAAACCCTTATCAGATCCTTGGCACCTTAGTTCTTCATTGGTGTGACCTATTTCTAACACTCTTAGACTAGGCTTTTCAAGGACAGACCGTCTGTGCCTAATTCCTCTGTTTATTCTTCCCCTGTGCCTGTAACAAGGCTTGATATGTGATGAATATTTTGGAAAGAAAGGATGGAGGAAACATGAGTGAAATAATTTTCTTCTCATTTGCTGATGTCACAACTTGCCAGATCTTGTGCCTAGAGTCATAAAATATTAGAGCCTGAAGGACCTTAGTGGTCAGTCAGTGATTGAGATGCAAAGCTGGAGCCAGCTGCCTGTGGACAGTGATTCCCAAGTCAGTGCCCTCTCACAGGCAGCCCCTTGTGCGTACCTGCCTTCCTCTGATAGTCAGATTTCTACTCCAGCTCATCTGGCCCAAAGCACTGGAACTTTTTGGGACGGAAAGATTTTGAAATGGATATAATACAGACATGTAAGAATGAAGATACTTGGTGTGGCCTTGATAGTATTCTCCTTCTATTTTTATTTTTATTTATTTTATTTTATTTTTGAGACAGAGTCTTGCTCTGTCGCCCAGGATGGAGTGTAGAGGCACAATCTCAGCTCACTGCAGTGTCCACCTCCTGGGTTCAAGCAATTCTACTGCCTCAGCCTCGAGAGCAGCTGGGACTACAGGCGTGCGCCACCATGCCAAGCTAATTTTTCTTATTGTTTATAATTTTGTTTTGTTTTAGTAGAGACGGGGTTTCACCATATTGGCTAGGCTGGTCTGGAACTCCTGACCTCATGATCCACCCACCTCAGCCTCCCAAAGTGCTGGGATTACAGGCGTGAGCCACCATGCCCAGCCACTTTCTATTTTTATTTAAATCATCAGGGCTATTTAAGAGAACATACTTTTAGTAATAGTAACTGATTTTGGAGTATAATTTTGTAGTCATGTGTTTATGAAATTGAGATGATTAAATTGTGTCAAATTTATGTGAAATAGGAAATGCAAAGGAAAATGTCTTCACTTGTTAAAAGCAGGAGAAATCACTCTTAAAGATGTTCCATCTAGGACTAATTTACTCGAAGTGTGGTGCCTGTTGTGAAGATTAATGACAGGTGGCCTTTTACAGAGCTTCTCAGCCTGAGTCTAATGTTCTAGTTGTTCTTTTTATTATCCCAAGCCTCCATAACTAAAGAATTTTTTTCACCCTGCCCTTTGTTCATAATATGGGACTGTAATTGAGTTCATATTTCTCACCCAGCCTTTCAGCTGTAATTAATATTTTATTATATCAGATTTTATCACTAACTAGCAGAGCGGCAGGATATTGAATGGAGTGTGGGTGTGTGCGCACAGACACACACCCACAGAGCAGTAGTAACTTACTGATGCCAGACAAGCTCCTTGTTATGAGTTACGGCTGAAAGAGCAAAAAAAATGCTTGCGGTGCCTCACAAATATTCCACAGCAATTTCTTGTCAGTCTTATCTACATCAGAGCAAGATAAAGGGAAATTAAAGTTGCTAACACAGAATATTCAGCCCCACAGGTCTGTTTATGCTGTGCGGTGTGTTACCCATTGCCCATTGTCTGTATAAAACTAGTTACCATTCATCATTAATAATTTAATGAACAGGAGTGTGTCAGGTCAGCTACTCTCAGCATTACCAGCAGGACTTTAAGGAATCCAGGCCGTAATGACAAACCCTGAATTCTGATTTTTTTCCACTAATTTTAACCTGGTGACTTGCTTTTAAAAGCTGAGTTGAGTTTTACCAGATTGTTTGGAATATTAGGGTGTCATTTCAGTAAATGCTGACAGATTTAGGAAAAGACAATGTCATAGCAAAGAACAAGAGGAAAATAAATTCATTGTGGTTGCATTGCGGTAAACCTTAGTTATACATTTATTTTTCATTCTTTACATGTAATTAATATTTTCATTTTATTTCATCTTCCCCCATATTTAATCTTCAGGAAGATATCAATACTAATCTCCATTCTTTTTATACATATAGAATGGATAGTTTTACCAAAAATTGCATATCAAGCCAAAAGTCACTATTAAATACAATAAAATGAACAATATTCTAAGTCCCTGAAAGGATCAGAAGTCCTGTTTTAGAGGCTTAGCAAAAACAACAATGAAAGGGTCATAACTTTTCTCTCTCTCTCTCTTCCTCACTTCCCTATCTTCTGTAACCAACTTGTTACCCTCTAATATCTTAGGCTGAAAAGAAGCATGATAAATGGATAACAAAAGTGGATTTACAACTCATCTCAAAATAAATTAGGACAAAAAATTTTAAGTCAATTTCACATATGTATGAGGCTTCCTCTCCAAGAACTCAAAGTTAGGAAAAAACTAAAAACATTTTATCACATTTGAACTTTCAAGTCTAAAAAAGTAGATGAAAGATGTTCAGATGTTCTTTTCTAGGTTATACTTCATGTGCTATTCCATATAAATGCAGATTTTTCATTCTCCTTGTAAAGGCCTTAGAATTTTGTTATAGAAACGCCTAGCATAAATTAAACTTTGAATTAAATTTCATTCCATAGGAAAGTTCTGATATAGTGATGTCACAGTTTTGGCAGATTCATCTTCACTGTGGATTGTGCTTTTAATATTGCACATGCAGTAGGAAGATTTGATGTTACTTTAAATTCCAGAGTAATGGTAGGACAGGGCTAGGATGGTGCAACTCCAATAAACAAAGGCAGCATGGGCAACCCATTAAAATGATAATACAATTTAAATTCAGCTCACTAAGCTAGAAATTTCTGATCAGTTTTCTATCCTCAGAAATTTCCTTTTTAAAACTCTTTCTAGAAACACTTCTAACAATGAGATTTTCAAAGCTAGTTTTGAGATTATGATTGTAGATGGAAAAATTTTATGAAATAGTAAAGTGATGTTACTTGTACAGATGAAAAATACGTCAGCTATAAAATTCTGTCAAGGTACTATTGACCTGGGTGTTAATAATGTGTTAATTTCCATCAGGGAAACAGTAAATTATAGCAATTGGGCAGCAGATAGGATTTAGCTATTTTTCATTAGTACTTGGACTTTGATAAAGGGGAATAGAAAAGAGCTGCTTGACCTTTCAGTGCTTAAATTATTAAAGAGCAAATAGATTTGAGGTCTAGATGCTTGCAAATCTAATTTGTCTTGTGGAGCAAGGATGAAGAGACATTTTGGGTTTGAAATTGCTCCAGTCAACTTAGTTCTTCCTGTAATATATCTGAAGATGAGTGGATGGTAGCCATTTAAAAAGCAAGATGTCTGGAGTAGAGTGTATGACATAACCAATGCCAACTAGCTAACATGAAGGCCCGTCAATGGTCATTTAATTCTTAAATTTTTACCTAATCCTCATAAAACTGCTGCTTGAAACAAATTTTTTTCATGTTCACTTAGATGATATTTATATTACAAAGCATATTTTTGTATCATTAAAGAATGTCAAACACTGTGTTGTTTAAGGTAAACTAGAACAATGCCTTGACACCTATTAGGCACTCAAAAAATATTTGTTGAAATAATAGATCAGTGTACACACTCACACATCGTGCCTACAAGCAGGGTTAAGAGAGAGGAGTGGGATGTGAGAGATGGAGGTGCGGGAGCACAAAGAGGCACAGCGTGTAATTCCTTAGGTTCATTATTTAATTGTGGGTTATCCAGGATAAACTAAAACCTAACTATCATCCTCTTACCATAAAACCTTTTCCTTGGTCATTGCTTTCTCTGTTGGCTCTTGTGTATTTGGGAAATGAATACAAAATAAACATCACATTAAATTTTAATAAGGCAAAGCATCATTGTGACTATCAGTGTGCTTCCTCCCTCCTGGTACACAGAATGTGTAATATACCCCAAACCAAATAGAAGCAACTTCAGGATTATAGCATGCTTTCAGAAATATGTACTTCACAGCCAAAGTGTCATGAGACACAAAAGTGACCAAACATTTGCCCTTCTCCTTCAGAAGCTTATGAAAATGATGATAAAAGGACACAGAATAACTATGTCTTCACAGAAAACATGTTTTTGTGAGTTTGGAGCAGAGCAAAAGAACATGAAAATGAGGGAACAGACTATAAGCCCTTGAGAGAGGGTCATTGAGGGTCTCAGTGTTTTAGGACATAGGGTATCTGCTGAGAGTGACCTAGAGTCCATTGCCTTGAAGAGAACCACATTTAAGTGGCAAACTTGAGTCCAGGCCATGGTGAAGGAATAGATGTTTGCCGTAGGAGAATCTAGAATCTTGGGACGTGGAAAGTCTAGGAGCAGCTGTGCTGCTTTTTTTGTCTAGCTGGATTACAACGGGAGGGAGCTCCTTGCAGCTTGAGAGAGGTGGGAAGATCATGGTGCTTAGAGGACACCAGCCAGGTGTTAAAGTCACTGTGGAGCCAGGAGAACATCCTCCCTGAAAGTAATTAATGACTCAAATACAGATGGCAGAAGGAATTGAGGTCAAAGGCAACATTATCATCTATAATTCCCTTGATGTGATAAGGATGAATCTTTACAATACTCAAAAGAAATCGACAGTGGAAAATCGATGGAGACTGGCTTATGTGTTGGTTGTGTCTGCAGGAGCAGGTGAAAATTCCCTTCAGGCCAAATGGTTCCCATGAGTGCCTTCACTGGACTTGTGAGTAAGGAATGCTAGCACAGCCTGGTCTCATGGTTAGGAGAACTCTAACCAACTGACAGGCTCTGCTGTCCGTTCTGCCACCTCTGCTACTTCAACAGAATGCCCTGGTACAATGGCACTTCACCTCTAGACCTCACTTTTCACATTAGGAAAAGGGGAAAAGTAAAATCTGTGTGTTGGGCACGTGGCCTCGAACTTCCAGTATGGAATATCTGCAACTTTTTTTTCTTCACACATATCCTTATTTTTCTGCTTTGTCTTGTATATGGATTTCCCAGAAATTGTTTTTAAGTTAAAGTTTTGAAAATCATGTCTACAGCAAATGAACTGGAAAAGCTATTTGAAGGAAGTGATGTTAAAAATTATTTTATTAAATAGGGAATCATTTTTTAAAGAAAAGAATCATTCTTATGGTTACTCTGTTTTGTGAGATCAGTCCTTATAGGTTGAATAAAAATTCTAGATATGTGAAATCCATGTTAGAGATTTACGTAATTCTCCCATTTCATAGGAGAAAATAAGACTCAAATAAACTCATTGAAATGCGTTTAAAACCCGTTTTTAGCAGATTTAGGATTAGAGCCCAGACCAGTGCATTGTCTTTACCCCTACAAAAGCAATTTCAAGAGAATGGTTACACTTCCTTACGGCTATTTTTTTTTAAATGGTATTCCAGGTTAGACTTCTTTCACAGCTGTCATCTGGCTGTGCTGCAGAGCAGGTAGCATTTAGTCTTCTACTTTGACCTTGACCCTTTACCCTTACTATTGTAGGAATGATCCACTGATGTGGAGCATTTTTCATGACTCAATCCAATAGAAAGTCTCTGTTGTGTAGGAAATAAGAGTTGTACTCCTTTGTTTAAAGTTTATCTCACTGGTAAAATTTACTTTATCATTGCCCTGTAAACCTGCTGGTTACCTGTATACTGAGAAATCACTCTGATATTCTAAAATAATTGATTTGTATTTAGACAGATTCACCAATGGAATAGCAGCACACATTTCATTACTGTAATAAATGGTGCTAAATGGTTGTACCCACAAAGATAGGTGGTTCCACTGAACGTAGATTCAAAGGCCACACAGATGTGAGTGTGGAGAGGAACCTCTCTAGGCATTCCCCCCATGGGTGGGGATGGCAGGCAGGCCTCTTCTGTGCTTTTTTCTTGGCATTAATGGGTTCTAATATTGAGCAGTTCTTGGTTCCTAGGAACTCTGGTGCCTTTCTGATACAGTAAGAAAAAGATCTCTCTCCCTGCCAGAGGACTTTTAATCTAATCTGGAGTCAGTTCAGGGAAACTGCTGTCAGGCTTTAGTTTTTCTCAGCATAAGAAACTTTTTCTTTACCACAAAACTGCACACAACATTTATCACTCTAGAAAATGTATTAAATAAATATCTTAATTTTCTAAAAGTCCATCATTTCAAGGTCTCTCTTGTTCTCTTAAGGTTACTTCAGAATTCAGACGTTGGAAAAGGGTGAGCAGGTGCCAGAGATCTAATCCTTAGTTGGGCAGTCATCCTTGCAGGCATCTTCAAAGGTGCTCATGCCCAGCCCATTGTTATATGAGATTTGAGGGGCCTTGTCATGAGTTACTCCTACTAATCACTTGGAACTCCAAGGCTTTGGCTTTTGAAACTATAATCCCTTATCTCTGCTTTTCTTATGCATTTCTTTCTACCGACTGAATATGGTGAGGGCCAAGGAACATAAGAAAACATAGGAAGATGAACCTAAGTTAACACGAATCACTACATACTGTGTTCTGTGATTTGTTAAAATTTTACTTGTGTTGTCATTAAAGAAAATAATGCATTGCTTTTTAAAATAAATTTAGAATTGGTATAATTTAATTTTATTTATTAGGTAAACTGAGTTGTCTGTAAAATCATCTTCTGTTACATGTGAGAAAAATATTACTTCAGCTCACATAAACAGTAGAGATTATATTAAAAATTTTAACATTATGGTGAAGTTTGTTTCTGTCACTAAATAGTTTTACTTTGGGTGGAAGAGTTCTGAAGAAGAACTGAAGCACCCCCCCTCACTGAGCAAGTGCTGCAGAAGAGTCTGTTTTATACCAAGGACTTACTATCAACTATGTGCAATGTGGTCTTTATTTTGAGTGTCCTGTGGGTCCATGCAGTTAAAGGCAGAGTGGATCAGTTCAGTTCATAAAATATCATTGATGATACTCTTGTTTTTCTAGCGTCTATCAAATAGTTGTTGAGGAAGAACGTCCTCGAAGAACTAAAAAGACGACAGAAATCTTAAAGTGCTACCCAGTGCCAATTCACTTCCAGAATGCTTCTCTACTGAACTCACAGTATTACTTTGCTGCAGAATTTCCTGCAGACAGCCTCCAAGCTGCACAACCTTTTACAATTGGTGATAATAAGACATACAATGGATACTGGAACACTCCCCTTCTCCCCCATAAAAGCTACAGAATTTATTTTCAAGCTGCTAGTAGAGCCAATGGGGTAAGTCGTACAGAGGACTGTTTCACTTAGGCTATTTGGGGTTGTTAATGGGAACATAGATTAAGTAAAATAATAGTAAAATTGAAGTCATGCTTTTCTTCATTTCTAGTTGTAAACAAATGTGATTTTATTCTCCTAAAATTATTTTTGTCTGGAGAAATTTATGGAAAGAAACGAATATACTCATCTATTTTTTTTTTGATTGGGGGAGTGTATCATCAACATTATGCGTTTTATTTTCAGTTTTCTTGTTACCAAAAGTTGGCTGGCAATTCTGCTTAGCTTACTGTTTTACAGGAAGACAGTATAGCTCCAACACATATATTCAGCTCATTTAAAATTTTGGGAGATTCACAGCATCTGTCTTTTCAGCATAGTCTGTCCCATTAAAGAAATGGGAACTAAAGAAGTTCCATGAGAGTTTCTCCTTTCTATAACTATGACTAAATTCTGTATCTTTTTTTTCCCTAAGAGAAAATAGAAAAATGAGACGGAAACAAAATAAAAAGTATCATTGAGTCATTTCTGAATTTGTTTCCCTTTCCTGTTGAGACCAACCCAGAACTCTGATAAGATTGGAAAGTCTCCTTAGACAGAAGGAAATGTTTTGAAGATACCACAGTGGGTCCCTCCTTCACAGCATAGGTCTAGGTATCACTGTCAACTTAACTTTTGCCAGTGCAAAAGGGGGAATCTGAGATGCATCATACCTCTTCAGTACTGTTTGCTCAGCGGGAAAGTACAGGTCCGGTGAAGGAGGTCCAGGACCACCAGGCAGAGATATTTTATGTGTAGCTCCTTGCTCATTGTCTGGTCTGGAAATGCCCAGCATTGCTAGCACTGGAACCAGAAAGTGTATCTGAGTGTGGTTCAAAGAATAATTGCTGTGTGATTAAATTAAATTAAATAATTGCTGTGTGATCTCACTGGGAACAGTGAGATCCTTCCTTATCAGTGTTATTTAAATAGAACTACAGACATTTCTATTTGATTTAAATAAAACATGAATAATGATTTTTCCCTCTCTTTATTTGATACAGGAAACCAAAATAGACTGTGTCCGAGTGGCCACAAAAGGTAGGTTGAAATTGTGGGATGCTCTCCTAGTTCATGTTCCTTAATGTTTATTTAACCTATGTTTCAAAACTTTTTGAACGATAACTTGATGAAAAATAAATGTGTATATGTGTTATATATATATATATGCATGGATGCATGTATGTATTAGGATCAGATGGTAATTAGCATTGACTGAGTGTAACTCACATAGATACTTTTTAAAATAAGAAGCTGGGCCGGGCGCGGTGGCTAACGCCTGTAATCCCAGCATTTTGGGAGGCCAAGGCGGGTGGATCACGAGGTCAAGAGATGGAGACAATCCTGGTCAACATGGTGAAACCCCGTCTCTACTAAAAAAAATTAAAAAAATTAGCTGGGCATGGTGGCGCATGCCTGTAATCCCAGCTACTCAGGAGGCCGAGGCAGGAGAATTGCCTGAACCCAGGAGGCGGAGGTTGCGGTGAGCCAAGATTGCGCCATTGCACTCCAGCCTGGGTGACAAGAGCAAAACTCCGACTAAAAAAAAAAAGAAAAAAAGAAGCTATACTGCTATATTCCAAGCAGTTTTCAGCAGTTATTTTTTTTAAATGAATTTAATTTTTATATGATCTCAGTACACGTTTTATTAAACCATAGTGTCATACCTGGTAGTACCACATGTAGTGAATCTTCATATGCAAAGGAATAAAATATCACCCACTATTTTTAAGCAGTGATCTAGTTATAATAGCAGTAGAAAGTGGAGTCTTTCTGGGCTTTTTTCACTGGTGGTGCATGTCTCTCTGAGCCTACTAACCAGGTTATGTTACTGTGCAGCTTCTATTTCCCAATCCTGCTTAAAACTCTGAGAGAATGTGATAGAGAATGAGCTGCAGAAGTGGGTAGGGCAAGTCACCCTGAGCTCTCCACACACAGCACTGTTATAGAAACAAGTGCAGACATGTGTTTGTGAACATAAGCTATCATATCTGGTCAACTTGACAGTGTTGTTTTAACCATTGCTATGGAAGTGTAAAAGAAAAGTCTTTGTGAAATTTAAAATGTCATCTTAAAATGAGGAAGTATAAATTAATACTTGGCCGAGTGTGGTGGCTCACGCCTGTAATCCCAGCACTTTGGGAGGCTGAGGTGGGCAGATCACGAGGTCAAGAGATTGAGACCATCTCGGCCAACATAGTGAAATCCCATCTCTACTAAAATACAAAAATTAGCTGGGCGTGGTGGCACACACTTGTAGTCCCAGCTACTCGGAAGGCAGGAGAATTGCTTAAAGCCGGAAGGCAGAGGTTGCAGTGAGCCGAGATCGTGCCACTGCACACCATCCTAATGCCTGGCAAAAGAGTAAGACACTGTCTCAAAAAAAAAAAAAAATACTCAAAGTTCAGTACAGTCATTCAGACCATTGGAGTAACCATGTGTACAGTGGGAAGTTCTGTATGATTTAATTTAGAGATGATGGTAAAAACACATCATTAGGTCTGTAGCAGAAGATTTAATCAGGTCATACTTGATGAGTTGTGTTGGATAAAATAACGTTTTGCTGTTATTTAACTCTCAGGTGAACATAGTTTGAATATACCATGATGTACATATGCATTTTCGAAATTCTCATTGAGTTCTTATTTTGTGAACCATACATGACTTTTTAATTCAGTGTTAGCTCAACAAATACTTCTTGGTTGCATGTTTTGTGCCAGGCATTTGTATCTTGTTTGTCCTCATGGGCTTGTAGTTCTATATCCAAAAGTCTATTTATATTAATTTTCAAACACTCAATTTTTATATTTATATTGAACCTAAGTGACTTTATTTATAGGAATAAATTGATATTTGCTAAAGTTATAGCTGCTTATGTGTTCCATAGACTGCCATATGCCATCAACTATTAATTATTACAGTACGATGAAGCCCTTGAGCAAGGTATCCATTGACGTTCTTAGATCTCCAGGTTATGGTCCATGCTCAACAACAGGAATTTCAAAATATTACTGTATCACATTTCACTTACTCTTAAGGTCTGAAAAAATAAATCCTGTTCCCGGGCCCCTAGTTTATAATACCTAAATGTCACGCTGAAAGTTTTGAAATCTCTTTCATACGTGTGTTCTCATTTATTTCTTCATTACTATGAAAAAGGGAAACAGGTACTGCTATTCTTATTTTTAAGATGAGGAAAAGGTGTATTTTTGGAGAAAAAATGACTCACCAAGGTCACTCAGTTGATAATCTGGGGATCAAGGCTTACACTCCTAGCGCCCGTGTTTCTTTCACCATTGCTCATGGCTTTTTACCCAGCAGCACCTCTGGCCAGTGATAGTATTGTGTAGTGTAAGCATCAGACATCCTCTTTGTGAGGATTGAGTCTGCCCAATTTACTGTGAAAACAACAAAATATCTGTCATCATGCTCATTTACATAGTTAAATAATTATATAAATAATACACTAGTAAATGTGGAAACCTGACAAGTTTGCTGTTTTCACAATAGGTTGAATTAGATAGTGATTTAGATCATTTTCTTCTATCGGCTAGATTTCATCAGTATTGTAATTTGTTTTCCAATTCACCAAAGGATGATTAAGCAATCAGATGACCTGATTGACTAAATATTCCCCACTCCTATTTTCTGAGTCATTTGTAAACATTTACACAGCAACAAACTCTATCCTAAGAACCTCTTTTGGAGAAAGAGGGAAACAAATTTTAATATTTACTGCATAACATTGTCATTTCTGTTTCATAAAATCGTAGCACAGGAGAAAAACTTGGAAGATATTCTCCCTCCAGGCAAAACTACACTGTTTCGTGCTATTTTATTGAATTCTACATGGACAGATTCAGCAACCCTCCTTTTAGCACAATGTAATGTTTCACCACCTTTAAGTCAGAAAATTTGCCCTTACTGATACTAGGAATTCTCTTGCAACGTGGGAAGCCATTCTGTCTTGACTACATAGTCAAAACAGAGAAATAGGAAGATCTATTAGCTGTGTTGGTACCATAAAGACGTTTAAAATGTAAAAGAGTTCAAACATCCTGAGTATGAGTTGCCACATACTGCTTACAGTTCGATGGCTTAATTGAGTTTTCAGATACAAACTTGCTTTCCTAAGCAACATTTTGAATGTACAGAGATTTCAGTGTTCTCCTGAAACGACTGTTGACAAGTATCTTTATAGAGAAAGTATGGAGGTGGATTTGTTTTCACTAAGAGCTAGGTTATAATTTAAAATAAGGGTATGTCTCTTAAAAATATATTTCATACTATTTATGAATTTAATGTAGTGATTATTTTAATCATATTGCAAAGGTATATTTTGACACTCATCTTAAATATCAACTTCATAAAAGTTATACAGGAAAAAATCTAAGTTGTGTTGTTGTATATCTCCATATGTGTGGGGGATTGCCTATATTTTATGTATCCTCTTCATTTATTCGCTTAGATGAGTTTCCTATAGGTACATGTTAGCTGCAGGCAAACTCGTCACAGAATATTCTCTCTTGAGTTAAAAGATAAAGACACCATACACCAGGATATACGTGATATTTATGTGTTACCTGCCCAATTCAAGGGATTGTTTTTAATTGTATAGTAGAGTGAATAAAGTTGCTTTTAAATATTTCTTAAAATCTATGAAATTGTGTTGGTTTTTAGTCACATTCACATTTTTATAGTAGGATGTTTTTATGACCACTAGGCCCAACTGTGTTTTAGTGATTAGTGTATTTGTTTTCTTTAGCTTTCATATTTACTATGGTGGGCTCATGGTAACTAGTAGGATGGAAACTCTTTTGCAGCTAGTTTGAGAAGGCTTCATTGATAATCAATTCTAAACTGGTAGAATGCACTAAACAAATCCAAATGTCTTATTAGTAAATTAGATTTCTTACCTTGAATGAGATCTATTCATTCGAATTGATGTAACAATCAGTTTACACTACATACATTACATTAATCTACCATTAAATAAGAGTTTTCCATAATGTGATGGCACCACGTTTGTCCATGGTAGTATAGCCATTTGGGAGCTTTCCTGTTGCCCATTTAAAATTATTTGTGTGCCTCCTGTACGTTAGGTGTAATCTCCAAGACTTCCAACTATAGATACATAAATATTTTAAATATTTTAAATTAATGCATAAATGTTTAAATTTTGAAGATTTTAGGTTTATAAAAGTGCTTAGGGGTTTTGGGGGATTTTGGTATATGCGGAGCAGTCATGCATGTTAATTCAATCCTCTCCTTGGTGTTATTTGGCTGTTGTCTAGCTAAAGCTTTTACAACCCATGACCCATGGGCAACATGCAGCCCCAGATGGCTTTGAATGCTTCCCAACACAAATTTTTAAGCTTTCTTAAAACATTATGAGATTTGGCTGGGCATGGTGGCTTACGCCTATAATCCCAGCACTTTGAGAGGCTGACGCAGGAGGATTACCTGAGGTCAGGAGTTTGAGACCAGCCTGGCCAACATGGTGAAACCCTGTCTATATTAAAAATACAAAATTAGCCAGTGGCAGATGCCTTTAATCACGACTCTTTGGGAGGCTGAGGCAGGAACATCACTTAAGCCTGGGAGGCGGAGGTTGAAGTGGGCTGAGTTTGCATCATTGCATTCCAGACTGGATGACTGGATAATTAGGAGATTTATGCATGGACATTCTTTTTAAAGCTCATTGGCTGTTGTTAGTGTTAGTATATTTTATGTGTGGCTCAACACACTTCCTTCTTCCAGTGTGACCCAGGGAAATCAAAAGATTGGACACCTTTATCTAGCTAGAAATAAAAAAAAAAAAACTTCACATAAATACATGCTAAATTCCTTTTCCAAAACTATTAGAGAAGTTAGACTATAAGCCTTAAACAAAAAGAAAACAAACCATTTTTAATGTTATATTTTAAGGAAATTTTTCATGAAAAATAAGTATTCATTTGACTCTTTTTGTAAGTTTAGCATTTTATTAAACTTAAATTTGTAATGGAATGTTAATATGCCTTACTGGAAGACCTTGAGGA